TACAATGACTTGCGGGGGCCAGCCGATGTACAAGTCAGTGTTTTATCCTCCCAGACAAGTCTGGTACCAATTAACCGACCCCGGAGGGATGGAAGGCTTGGTTGGCCCGGGCGACTCACGACCCAGGATTTGATCCCCGGACCGCTCGCGTGGTAAGCGTGCCACTTGCCACTACACCACTTCCGCCCCCATTTTTAGGCACTAAAATTCGTAAATAGGGTCTGATTCCGATCTCTTCTTGTGAAGATTTGTATCACTCCTCCAGCACAAAAGTATGCACTCGAAAATAGCACGCTTTGCTTCACTTTCAAGTATCCCTTATGTAAAACAATTTAGGAAACCTATGCACGGACCAAGATCACCATAGGTACTACAACGCCTTCCTGATTAATGTGCCATTATAATAATTTTAAAAATCTCTGCGCAGAAGAATTATCTCTATGCTGCGTCCCCACATCGAGCCGCAATGTTGGCAATGAGTTAATGCTAACAAGGAATATCCCTCAGGTAGCCATGGCCATTCCATTTGAGATGTATACACCTTTATGCATTTTAACACGCTGATTTCAAATCTGCATTCCAAATCTGCTAAACGATTCTGTGAACGGAGTTATGAAGCCGAAAAGCGCAGGGAAGCAGTTCTTAAGCAAGGGTGTATACATCGCATGTGGAATGGCCATGGCGACCTGAGGGACATTCCTTAAGCTGCATGTCCTTCCCCAGTAGTCACAGATGTGTCGATCGTTAGAAATGCAACATAACACTAGAAGGCTAAAACCATGCTTCCCAAAGAGTACCTTACCCACGAAAAAAGTACCTAGTCCCTTTTAGCATGGATCGCCCTGGAAAAGAATCTTGATTCCGACCTAATCTTATTGCTGAAGGTGCCTAGGAGATAGTACTGTTTCGAAAGCCTTGAACGGGCTGAAAAACTCTACTAGCGTCCGAGGGCCTTTGGTCGCTTGATCCACTGACAAGAAAAATTCTCAGAGTTCGAATTGCGGAGTCAGGTTATTTTTTCTTTCTTGTACAATGCTGATGCTCAAACCTTTTCAACGTGGCTCACGAAATCATCGGTTTCCTCTTCAGTCAAATTCAGTGTTCTTAGCAATTTGTAAACATCTTGACGTGGCTTTGGGGTAGTTGTTTGTAGTTTCACCTGAAAACACTAGTTGTTTGTAGTTTCACCCAGACATGCTATCTTCTTGCGATTCACATCGCACAATTCACTCACATACAGGGGAGGCAATAAAAAAAGACATTTTGCCTATGTCGCACTCTCAGCGTTTTTTTCGTCGCAGAGATTGCCGTCGCTGACGGAAGTTCCTCAGCAAAATATTCCTAAATGTCCCTCTATTAGTAGACGCAGGCCCTCCTTCACTGCCCTCACCGTCTTCAGAATATGACGTCATCTGTCATCGTCGTCGAGCTCAGGAGGCCTACAGTAACTGCTTCAGCCTGAAGCTCTTACTTAATTTTTTCAATCGATTCATCGTTGGATAGTTTTCAAGCCCCATCGGAATCCGCTTCCCAGGAAAAGTCGTAATGGTATGGGGACCGTCCACGACCCATTGAGCACGACCAGTACACCATGTTTTCAGTGCTAATTTTTCCGATTTCGTCCACCTTGAAGGGCAATATGAAGTTTATTTTATGAAATGGAATGTGCTCTTTCATTTAACATGA